ATCCAATTGATTATCCAACTTTATTCCAAGCAAGCGGCGTTGCAACCAGTTGATAAATTCCTTCTTATCTTTTTTATCTAGCCAAGCCTATGACCTGCTCAGATACAGAGTTTACAGCGATTGTCTGTGATCGTCAATGTATGGCATCACACCCTTGTCTTGCTGGAGAACAACGAACTGTGACTATTTACTGTAATAGATTTCTCCCCGATCGCTCCTTTGCCACGTAGTCTTCCCTCGTGACGAGATTCTGGAACTCCGACCCTTTTGATGTCCAGATAATATGTGCAGAACTCAATGGCCTCCTCCGTTGACCATCCTTCAACCATGCCCCTTCTGTCCTGAATTTGTTCCAAACATACCTCCTGAAAACTTTTATCAATCTTTCGAAAGGGGACATCTGATGCAGGTACATTGGTCCAAGGGCTCTAATTTGGTCAACAAGATGAATGAGCAGATGCAATGAGATATCAAAGTAAGTCGGCGAAAAATACATCTCAAGTCTAATGAGAGTTTTGGCTATGTCCGCTGCAGCTGCTCTAGCGTGGACACATCAATGACCTTTTTTGAGATCACGTTGAAGAAAGAGCAAAACTTTATGATTGAGGCGCGGACCTTTGGGGGGAGGATACCACGTAGGGCAACAGGGAGCAGCTGAGTCAAAATGACATGACAGTCATAGGCCTTCATATTGCCATAGTTGAACTTGAGTTCTCTCATGTTCACTAGCCTCTTCGGGTTCGCACAGTAGCCCGTCGGGACTTTGAGTTCATTGAAGAAAGAAATAAGCGCACGCTTTTCTTCCTTCTTCAATGTCCATGACGCAACCGAAAGTTCAAATTGGCCATTCTCTAGCTCCATGGGATGCAGCTCCTTCCTGATTCCCAAGTGTTGCATGTCCAGACGTGTATCTAGTGAATCCTTCGATGTCCTCCTCGATGTCCATCAAGATGTTAAGAGTGTTAGCGCACACATTTTTAGTGATGTGCATGGGATCAAGACAGTGGCGTACACTCAGAAATGGCCAGTAAGGTAGTTTCCAGAAAATCAATTTTTTCTTCCAAACGCTCCCATCAAGCGCTGCTACTGCATTGTCCCCCTTCCCAAAGACAACCTCCAGTTTGTTGAGTTCTCGAAGTATCGTAGATCCGTCTCGATATTTTAGAGCTAAGCATTTTTCAATAGTACCGTTGACATCTTTTCTGTTCCTGCGGTAAGGGTGATCCTTAGGTAGGAACCTACGGTGTCCCATATAAACTATCTTTGAGTTATTTGATAAATTTACCGCATCGGTGTCGTCCAAACACTCGACACATCCAGTATAACCTTTTGTCTTCTCTCCAGGACAACGAACCTCGACCTGGCAGGTCGGTGATTGTAGCGATAAGTACTCCCTTGATCGTGACATGTTCTTTTTTGTACTCGTCCCAAACATCCAGCACACACTTTTCAAACATCTCCACTAGTTCATCGATCACTGGTTTCAGAAATACATCGATGTCATTCTCAGGTTGTCTTGGCCCTTGGATCAGTAGTGGCATCTGGATGTACGACCGCTTCATACAGAACCAAGGTGGAAGATTGTATATACAGAGCGTCACTAGCTAGGTGCTATGATTGCTTGTAACCTAGTCGAAAGGATTCATCCCATTTGTGCTCAAAGCAAACCAAAGGTGCCTTACCTCTTCACCGATGTCCTTATAAAACATAGTATTGACAGTCCTCCGGTCATGCCCATTGTTGGGGTGCTTCATCATTGTATCTTTCTTACACTCTTCGTCATGCCAGCGCAACAGCTTGGCTGACTTTGCACATGCAAACAACCTATGCACCAGGGGAGATATAGAGAAATACCAAACAACCTTTACGGGATCTCCTCTGGTCTTGATACCCTCATCTGACGGCCCTTCCTTGTACCGTGGAGCTTCACACTTCATGCACTTGTCCAAGTCTTTGTATTTTTCTCCACGGTACAATATGCAATCATTGAAACCTCGAGGCCGATGAGGCAGATCATTTTCTTGGCCAAGTATGTCTTTTCTGTCAACTCTTTTTTTCTAGGAGCATTTTCCTTATTATACCTAACAACTGATCGAAGCCTTTATCGCTCCATTCATTTATCGATTTGAACTCTAACAACATGATGTCGGCTTCCAATTTGCTCATTGGACAATTCCTATACAATGGTGTTTTGCTATCTTGTCTCATTTTCTCTAACTTTCTCAGCTGTCTTTCACTAAGACATCCGGTCTCTACATTACGTAGCAGCTGAGAAATGTCATCGTTATCCTCGGTGTCGTCAGCTAGCGTGTTCCTAAACACGTTATTAACTGTGGCCATAGGTTCCGTGTTGACACCGGGTTTCTCGTCAGCATCGTGGATGGCTATGTTAGGCATATCCACATCATCATCATTTTCCTGCCGAACATTCACACCAACCTCGCCATGCATAGTCTATATCGTATAGTTTAGCATGAACCCCCGGTAATCAAATGCGATGTATAGACTCAATTTGACGAAAGTTCATTTGATTCTTGCAATCTTTGCATGGACAGAAGACAGGGTTCCCATTTCCAGCATGGGCTTTGGCATCGGTGATAAACTAGACTGACGTCATGCATGTACCGCTTGTCCGTTCGGGACAGATGCATCCACTCTCGATCCATCTCTGCATAAAAAATACTGAGACAGTAATTACAAAGAATTAATAAAAAATTGAGCTTCATGAACAACAATTATAGCTTAAAAGTATCATTTTTGAAAAAATATTATTTTACACTAATTATTGAAAAATTAAAATTGGTAGCCCCGGCCCTGTAAATTGAAAATCGTAGTAAAAAATAATTATTGCACAATAATGAAGAACAATTATTCTACCCTACTTCTAAGAACTAATTATAGCATCACATACTAACAATGATGATCTTGACCACCATGGAATAATTAGATAGGAATTTAAATGTATTCATAGACACTAACCTTTTGAATTATGGATTCACCACAATTTGAATCTTGCACAAATGTCCAATTAGAAAAGTAGAATGGAGAAAGAATTAGAATGAGAATCAAGCAATGTAGCTATCAAAACGAAGCTAATTAAGCAAAAAATTCAAAGAAGTGGATGATTGTTACTAACCTTAAAGAAAAAGATCAAGTCATTCTTTAAAATTCAAGCGTTAACTTTATGGTGAAGGGCAGACGCAACAATGGAGGGAAGGACCCCAAACGCGTGTCTCTGTTCTCGGGATAGAAGAGAGGAGGAAGAAGAGGACGGCTGCAGTGTTTTTGTGTTGTAGGTTTATCACCGTTTGTTCTTAGCTAGAACCGATAGTGATAGATCCAAATTACTGTCGGCTCTTGGCTTAAACCGGCAATGATGAGTGGTCACCAAAACACTGCCGGTTTAAGCCACAAACCGGCAGTGATGTGGTTCTTCACTGCCGGTTTTAACCTAGTCCCAATCATTTTCTTATTTTCAAACTCATAACCGACAGTGAAAGTACGTCACTGCCAGTTGTTACAAATCTAACAGTGATGGTACCGACAGTGATGTCCAATATAGGGTAGGAAGAGCTAGGGACTAGAGCGACGATACGATACTGCTCCCAAGTCAGAACACGCATCAGACCTACAAGCTCGGAAAAAATTTGTATGCGACACCGTCACGTAGAGACGTCTGTGCGAGACGCCGCCTGGTTGCGTGATATGCGACGAAGTGGCATGGAACTGCTCCGATCGCCTTGCTGCAGGTGGGGCCAGCGTGGACCACGCAGAGTATGCCGCACGGAGCATTTTATGCGACACCGTCGCATAGAAATTTTTTCCTACAAGCTCTGCACGCATGGAAAGCATCCATCAGGTTCAGACGGTTCAGTGAGCACCATGCTCCAGCCTGAACCACCATTCCTTAATGATCTCCTATTACAAACCCCCAGCCCCAGCCACCTGCTCTTCTCGTACCAGGCCTTGTTTAGATTGTAAATTTTTATAATCTGGACACTATAGCATGTTTCGTTTGTATTTAACAAACTTTGTTCGATCATGGACTAACTAGGCTCAAAAGATTCGCTCTGCTTTTTACCTACTTTAATGCTTCGTGCATATGTCTAAAAATACCCAGGACAGAGTGAAAAAAAAACTTAGAATTTTAAGACAATCTAAACAAGGCCTAGGACGCAGGAACACCGAATAAAAAAACGAACCGGTCTTTGTCTCTTGTGAAAGAAGCTTCTTTGGATGCTGGGCCTGGTGGTGGTGGGGTGTGGTGCTGCCGTGCTGGTGTGGTGTAATGATAGCATGTCTTGGCAAAGGATGGCGTCATGCGATGCAAAACACCCCATGGCAATCCATTCCAGTCTCGGCCATCCCATCCTTCCGAATCATCGAAATCTAAAAATACTGGCGTACGCCAAAAACGGAACGTTTGAATTGTCTCGCATCCGCGACGTCGTTTTTCCTATAGCGAAGTCGCATTCACATTCCCGTTATAGTTCGATCCCTCATTGGCAAAGAAAAAGTCACAGTCCCCTTACTAACGCACACACGGCCACGGGATATTGGTTCCCAGGACTGGAATCACCGCGCGCGATCGAGCCCAGTCCTCGGCTCGGACACGAAACCACCAGCGCTGGCTAGTGCTAGCACTCCCATCGGCCTCCTGCCGGGTCCGGTCAAAACGGCCGTTTCAGACGAGACGACGCCTCTCTCCAGGCTCCAGTCCTCCACCGGCCCCAACTAACCAACCACCCGCACCCGCGCCCGCGCCCGCCGCTCAGTGCCCGGCTGCCCGCTCTGCTCCTCGCTATATAATCCCCAGTTCCCCACACGCCTCGTGTCAAACCATCCAATCCTATCCAACCCTCCTGTAGCATTCGATCGATCTCAAGAACTGCACCGGCCGGCCGGCACAGCGAGCGAGCGCGCGGGGGTAAGAAGCCAAGAAGGCACCGAAGGCGACCGAACCGAGGCTTACTACTCGATCGATCAGGGCATCACGCGGCATGAGGATGCTGTTCAGTTGCTTCGTGGGGTCGGAGCCGCCGGCGGCGGCCGGAAGCGAGAGCGGGGACGAGAGACAGCAGCAGAAGAAGAAGGCGGCGCGGCGGATGCGGAGCGCGACGGCGCGGCTGCGGTCGCTGTCGCTGGACGACCTGTCGCGGACGCTGGCGTCCTCGGGCCTGCACGCCTTCACGCAGGCGGAGCTGAGGGTCGCCACGCGGGGCCTCTCCAGCAGCAACTTCATCGGCGAGGGCGGGTTCGGCCCCGTCTACAAGGGCTTCCTCGACGGGCGGCTCCGGCCCGGGGAGATCCAGCCGCAGCACGTCGCCGTCAAGTACCTCGACGCCGACGGGCCGCAGGGCCACCGCGAGTGGCTGGTACGTATACGTGCGCACGCCGGGTCCGGCTGCATTTTATTTGAATGGATCGGACACGACGCACTAATTACGTACGATCGATGCTTGCTGCAGGCGGAGGTGGTGTACCTGGGGATGTTGAGGCATCCGCATCTGGTGAAGCTCATCGGGTACGGCTGCCAGGACGAGCAGAGGATGCTCGTGTACGAGTACATGGCCAGAGGCAGCCTCGAGCACCACCTCTTCAAGAGTAAGCTACCTAGCACCCTCGATCGATCGTTACTTACTACCACCACTCCAGTATGGCGTGTGTGTTCTTAGCTAGTACTACGTGTTACACCTGCTGGGACTGATCGATCCACCCGCGCATGCATGCATGCAATGCAGATCTGCTGTCGACCTTGCCGTGGTGCACGCGGCTGAAGATCGCGGTGGGCGCCGCTAAGGGGCTGGCGTTCCTGCACGAGGCCGACACGCCCGTCATCTACCGCGATTTCAAGGCCTCCAACATCCTGCTCGACTCCGTGAGTACCTCCATGCATGCCTTGCCTGGTCCTTTCCGACGACGACGACTAGTTCGCTGAGTATTTATTAGCTTGCTTTAATCCCAAGGAATTCTTGGCTCTTTGCTGACGCCAGGAACTACTACATCATGCCACCAAGTTTTATTTTTCAACTAGTTGGCCAATCTCTGTCGTACACACCCAGAGATATACCCATCTGATCCAGATCGATCGAGGGTTCAATTCCACAATGCTTATATATCTGTGGTGTGGCAGCCAGCTTATAAAAACAATAATAATTATCAAACGGTACAAAAAAATCAAGCAAATGGCTACTAATAAGGAATAGGTGTCCTTTCTGATTCGTTTACTTCTCCTACCGAACGTGACAACAATAATAACGTCGCCATTAATTAATGTTCCTGTTATTTTAGGCTTTTCCAATTAGTTGGTGCATCCGGGCCCGAGCTCGACCGCGGACGAAACAAAATTGGTTGTTTTGTTGCCTTGTCGATTTGTCGTAGGCTAGACGATCGTAGTAGCAGCTCGAAGCCTGGACAGTACGGACGGAGTAGTTGTTGTACTTGATTAGCCCAACACTCTTCTCGATCCTGACTTTATGAGAACCTCAAAAATGGCAACAGAGAGCCCTCGATTCGAGCTTTTCCCAGACTAGTAGAATGCTCCTGATATCAATATGCACACGCCTGCAAGCATAAAACTCCGACACGGAATCACCGAATCAGTGTACGTGTGTGTCACTAGCGAACACGCATCGACCTGACACGTACCCATGCCTAGGATATCATATCAGTCGAAGCAAAACGATATGCAAGTATCAACACTGCGGCGGCTGAACTGACTATTAAACGATATGCTTTCCCTTTTTCGGGTAGACTGAAAGACGTACTCCTATTTCTTTTCCGTGTATATATGGCAGGATTACACGGCAAAGCTCTCAGACTTTGGCCTGGCCAAGGAGGGCCCACAGGGCGACGACACCCACGTAACCACCCGTGTCATGGGGACACACGGCTACGCCGCGCCGGAGTACATTCTCACCGGTACGTTACGTTAACTCACGTCACAGACACACCACCTGCATGCGTACACATGCTCTCCTTCTCGGTTAACCATGCAACGCATGCATTGCAGGGCACCTGACGGCGAAGAGCGACGTGTACAGCTTCGGCGTGGTGCTCCTGGAGCTGCTGTCGGGGCGGCGCAGCGTGGACAAGCGGCGGCGCGGGCGGGAGCAGCACCTGGTGGACTGGGCGCGCCCGTACCTGCGCCACCCGGAGCGGCTGCACCGGGTGATGGACCCCAGCCTGGACGGCCACTACTCCGCAAAGGCCGCGCACAAGGCCGCCATGGTCGCCTACCACTGCCTCCACAGCGTGCCCAAGTCCCGCCCCACCATGCGCGACGTCGTCGACGCGCTCGAGCCGCCGCTCGCCGTGTGCAGCGACGTGCCCGCGGGACCCTTCGTGTACACGGTCCCGCCCGAGCCCGAGTCCGACGACAACAGCAAGGCCGCCGACGAGGTGGCGGCGGCGGCGGCGGCGGACGGCGCCGCGGCGGCCGCTGCCAGTGCCAGGCAGAAGTGCCTCGCGTCGGCCGTGCACGCCGAGGGCGAGCTGCGGACGGCGGCCAACCAACGGTACGCGAGCTCCGTGGCGGAGCACGGGAGCTCCTCGCCCAAGCAGAGCAGGGACAGGGGAGCCTAGGTGCATGCGCTGTGCGCAGCCGTTGATGCATCCGTACGTGTCAGCAGCTTGTGTATATTTGTTCGTTGATTCATTTCCTTGGAAATCCTCCTCTGGATAACCGGGATTCCAGGAATAAAGTTGTGAGTTGTCTCGCAGATTTTTAGAGATGCATTTGACGACAACAGGTAAGAGTATCTCCAAAAGACTTTATTTGCTTTAAAAATGTTAGGAATAGAGATTTTGATGAAAGACCAGCCTTCAACAGTTTCTCTAATTGGTTATCCAAATATAGCATCTTCTATTCTGAATTTTTCGCTAGCCAAAAATAGAAGACGAGAATAATTCTCTAGACTGCGCACGAGATTTAGAAAAACTGTTCGAAAGTGAAAAGATATGAAAAATGATTTTTATGCAAATAACTCTCTCAATGATGATTTAGATAGTGAGATTTAGAGAAGCTCTTAGAGATCCTCTTAAATGGGTATGATAATTAGCAGTGGCAGCTAACGGAGGGAATTGGAGTGGAAAATCGACTTTTAGCTTCAATCTATTGTTTGGTTCGCGGAAAAAAAAAAAGACTGAACTAATATTCCCTGCTGACCAAAATTGATTTTAGGATTTTTAATTAAACATTTTTTGAAAAAAAAATATTTGGACAAATTTTTTAAAACTACCTTTACGACGTAGCAACGTAATCCGATTTACCTCTTTTAGATGATGTGCCACTACGTCAAAAAACTGCTATCAAAATCATCTAGGACATAAAAATAAACGTTTTTAAAAGTTAAAGGTATAAAAAACCCGATTTTATAGATAAGGGGAGAAAATCGAAAATGGTCAAAAGAACTTCCCCGTGAGCGCACCTCGCCAACACGGAGGTGGGAATATCCGCCCACCAGCGTATGGGGCTGTGCCACTGCCAAGGAGGCCACGTGACGGCCGCGACAAGTTTCACGATGGCCGAAGACGACGACGAAGCAGGTAACAGACCCAAACTGACCCACATCAGACGGCGTAAAGCTTATGATCGCGCGATCCAACGGTTAACGGGCTAAAGATTCATGTGTAGAAAATACCATCGGTGATGCACATTGCCCAATTTGCCACTGATACACTAATCATTTTGCGCCAGTCAACAGACTTACAACATTCCCTGTACAACGAAAAATACTTTAGGGAGTGAACGCCCATGAATTGGCATCTAGCAACAATGGTTGCTTTTTAACTATAAAAGTCCACTCCCTCTCCGCCAATCTAGGCAACTCTAAACAACAATACAACATCGCAGATGGATGTAACCCCAATAAAACCAGGGGGCAGACAAATCTTCAGGGCAGCCTGACCACATTGATTCTATTGGGCAGGCTGTGGATCCTGCTGCCTTAGTAGAAACTGTACTGATGTATAGTGCTGAAGAGATTCTGGAAGATCGACGTCAGCATAATCTATTGCCGGGATAGCCATTGACAGATCCTCGGTGGAGAATGGTATACTGTAGCCAGAAAAGATCAATATTAATGCAAAATGGCAATTCAGTTGAGTACATTCCACATTATCAAATATTAGCAAATATCAAGCGTAACCACAGATCGGTGAAGGCAAAGTATAATTTTTTGGAAATATTTTCGTTACCTTAAGTCATCATCCAACAAGAAGGAATTTGACAGAAGATTCTGGGTATCTTTGTTGACCATCTCCCGCATTGCAGCAACCACCTGAGAAATCTCAAAAATAAAATCAGAAATGTAAAGCAAAATGAATTCCAGAAAAATGAGAGCTCCAGGTTCAAGCTGAAAGGACCTACCTCGGTTGAAATGCCTTGGGTATTGTATTTGTCATCCCAATACATCGAGCATATTCTATAGATTTGGCGAACACTCAAGGACTACATAAAACACCAGAGAAATTACGAGTTAATGGTCTGCCATAAATGATGGCCAACTGCAAAAGCGTACATGATATGTGTTTTCATACCGGGCAAAGATCTAGCCTGATCTCCTCAAGCGTCTTTTTTCTCTTTTGGTGTATAACCTGTATAAATTTTGTGAGAATAGCCTAAAAGACAAACAACCAACAGAAACAGAAGGGCAGGCAGCTTGTAAAATCAATTACCAAAAATCCTACAGCTTGTCTGATATAATTTAGCTCGTGCCAAGATGTACCCGCAAACTGAAAAGAACATAAACTTGTGAAGACAGCTGAAAAGGCCCACAAACCCAACAAAACGATGCCAAGAAAATCCAGTTCCAACAGGGCTTCTTACAAGCAGGATAAGAATGTACAATGACACCTACCTCCTCTGTGACATCAGTAATCCATTTCTCCAACAATGACAGACCAGCTTTCACGTATTCCCCATTGGAGAATGTACAACATTCACGTCGGAGAAGAAGACTGAGAAATGAATATATTAATGAAGGTGAAACAATCTCTTGTTTTTTTCAACCATATTAGAACAAGCATGTATATTGAAGTGTCTGCATCCCATCATCCATAGCCTTCAATAAGTATATTACTTAACACACAAGCAGACACTTTTCTCGTAACTAAATTATTTGCAAACTTAACAAAGATAGTTGTCCATTAAAAATTTTCAGTTGATAAATAATATATATAGATATTCCTAGTAATTCATTCTTAGGACATTTAATGGCTAGCATGGTGGTTTCACATTTCATACCAAGTACCAAGTTACTGAGACAAGGAAACTACCTGTTAAACAACTGTATATTGATGAAAGAGAATAATTGTGTGATAAGTTTACGTATAAAGAAGGATGGCACCTGCAGCAAGCACAGATATTATATATTAGACTCACTTGGAGTCTTGGACAAAGCATTAAAGGCTATCAGTGCCCCAATGATGAACTTTACAAAGGTCAATCCTTTCTCAGAACAGGACAATAATAAGGCTTACATAATTTTCGCGCAATGTATCCATAAGCAAGTCAAGAAAATTGACGATATTGTCCCAGTTAGAGTTTGATGCCGGGTGGGCACCAACTCCAGTTGACTTGGATGTTTTTCCGGGTTGCCCACGTGTTGACTTTGGAGCCTGCATGTAAATCTCATAAAGTTACCAAAATATCCAGTTATTCCAATGCAGTTAAATTGGGGGAAACAATGATATACCTGAATGCAAAGATTAAGAAGAGGTGATATTTCCTTTTTTAGATTATCTCTGAGCTGCCCGAAGATCTTTTCGACACATGCAGTAAGCTGCTGTTTGAATAATATGGCTGGATACCTTGCATCAACTTGTGGTAGAGTATCACTGCGGCCTACAAACTTCGAAGGAGACCTCAGCGTCTGGAAGAAACATAAGTATTGTTATTCCAGTCAGAAGGCAAAATCAATCCTCAACGATTTCTTTAGAAAAAAAAATATCAGGCGACAAAGATTACCTAGTACCCAAATTAAATTAAAAACAACTATGTTTATGCACAACTTACAAAACAATGAAAACAGATAATATTTTAAACAAGAATGTTTTCATGTCTCCTGACAACATTCTTACTTTGCATCCAAAAATGATTAATGCAACCAGCACAATAAGGCTTCAAAAATCATGACCCTTTCTAGTAACCATAGACAAGTGTAGCAAAAGTGGCACAGCAGCCTAAGGATTAACGGATCCCACCACCTGCTTTGCACCCCTCAACCACTAGATACAACTCCAGATCCTTGATGACCATCAGTGACATTTGGTATGCGGTGTTTCAACTTTTTTGAAACTGATATGAGTAGATTTGTTTTAAAATATAGTCTTGCAATACTACGATTTTGCTACATTTTATAAATATATTATGGTGGATAATTCATATCAGAGCTGTATTTTGGGGACCATGTCTCTGTACAAAACAATACTCCCTCCATTCCAAAATGTAAGTCGTTTTGGCTTTTCTAGATTCATAGTTTTACTTTGTATCTAGACATGGTGTATATCCAGATGCATCACAAAAGCTATATTCCTAGAAAAGCCAAAACGACTTACAATTTGATATGGAAGGAGTACTATTTATGACTATGATAGATTCAACATGAACAGAAATAATATTCATCATGCTCAAATTCCTTACTTGCGCTATCTTCCCTAGAGTTCCACCAGAACGACGAGATGGGGTAGCAAATAATCCATTTGACCGCAGATTCCTTTGCAGAAGGCATAGCAATGCAGAGGTATTGGACAACCAATAAGGTAATCTACCATCAGCTTCATTCCCCTGTAGTGAAACGAAAACAGAAAATCCCAAATTTAGTTTACATTGAGGACACACCTGGTGTAAACAATAAAATATATGGGCTCCAATTATTTTACCTTGAGGACATCATTTATGGCCTCAATCACATGATCAAAAATAGCTGTCCGTTCTGATTCAAAAGCACGCCAGTGCAGAAGACATTTGTAAATGATACATGCTGCAACTGGTTTGCCATCCTTATATCCTAAATTTTCTTTGATGCATTTCAATAAAATTTCATGATTTTGCTGCATGAAACAATAGCAAATATGAGATACCTCAAATTCTTTATAGACACCATGGTCAGTAACAGAATATTAGCAACCTCATGGAGAAGTCATCAAATGAATTCGAAAATGAAGCACATCTATAACTTAAAGTCTCACAGACAAATTTACCTCATGCCTTTCTACAGGCAACCTCGATCTCCTTGATGCACTCAAAGTCTGTGGAAGAGAAGCCAGGTATTTTGTAGGTGTTGGGCTTTCCTACAATTTTAGTTCTCTGTCAAATTAAAGCTTTTTTTACAAGATCTGGACAAGTGCAGTTACCCAAGTTGAAAGAAAAGAATAAGCTTACGTATATATGCTTTGGCTCACTGATGGGAAGCCCAATTGATGCAGAAAATTTCTGCATTCAGAAATCAAGTCCATGAATTAAACAAGAAAGATTTGTACAGTGTTGTCATTTTATTTTATTTTATTTATTAATAAAGCAAACAGTGGGGGCCTCCCCTGCTGTATTTTCTCTCAAAAAAAATTAAACAATAAAGATATTA